ATGTGTGCAAATTTTCAGGTTTCTAGGTTTTTTCCTCCTGGAGTTATGCCAGTAACACACAGAGAGAAACCCACAGATTCGTCTTTATTATTATAGATTATCTTCATTAAAAATAGTTCTTGATCTTTTAAAGGAAAAGAACAGAAACAGGATTGTTTTCTATCAGAGAGTGTGGTTAAAAATTGGGGAAAACGTTTGAAAGTTAATCTGTATGGACTTATTTCGCTTCATAACGTTATTTGGTATTTATTGAAAAAATTCAAGTTAGCGAGTAAAATAGTATGAAAAAGGTTTCTATTGAAGGATTAATGAAAACAAGATTTGATAGGATTGTAGAAATATATCTTTGAGAGTATATTTAATGAGGTTCCGCACGTGGAAGACATATTTGTCTCGGAAAAAGAAAAGCGATTACAATAATAGAGAATCTTTTGGAGTTTTTATTCTGCATTAGAATGGAAAATAACAAAATATTCGCTTAGCTCGTGAATTTATAAACATACATATCAGACATCTCGATAAACTAGCTCATGAATCAGGTTAAACATAATGAAATATGAAAACTCCTACGAATGTGTATTTGGAAAGAAGACAGAATAAAAAGTAATATCATCATTTATTATGAACAAATGGATTCACACGGCAAGGAAAACTCCATGTAAAGCTTTTTTAAATGCTGGAGGATGATGTGAAGTACAAAAGTGAGGAAAATATGGCCAGCTTCAGAATAAGTTATTACAACCATCCTGAGAGTAAAACTGGATAAACGTATTTCCCTTTCTCAGCTCTGTAGTTTAGTACGTTCAAGCTGAGAAATTGCATCAAAATGTTTTATGTAAACAAAAAAGTATTTAATTAACAAAGAGTCATACTTGCAGGAAAACAGATTTAACTGAAATCAAACTCAAGAAACTAGAAACAGAACAGGTTAAAACGGTTTGCAATCTAGAACTGAAACCGCTACACAACAATTCTCGACACACATACACAGATTAGGTAAATAAAATATAGAAAAGGCAGCGTTTACGGTGCACTGAGAATAAATAAGATCACGTTGTACGTTAGTCTGTTAGGAGAAAAATAGCATAATAACGAAAAATGGTTGATCAAACGTTACGCAAAGAATGAGAACTTATTGACTCTAAAGCTTTAGCTTGTTATAGACGTCAGGAAAAACAGGTAAAGGGCAGAATGAAACAAAAAAATTGCAGAATTGAAAAAGGTACAAAAACGATTAGCTAGTTTAGAATAAATCTTTGTTTAAACAAAAAAAGACTGAGGCCGTTAAAAAAAAGAATACTGGATGGAATGAAAAGGTGGCAGAAAGGAATAAATATCTAAGTTTTAAAAATAAAATTATGAAATAATTCGGTTGAATGTTTGAATATAGATCAAATACTAAAAGATGGAGACGTGGGAGAGGTCAGTGAGGCAGTCTCAGGTAGAATATCTTGGACTAAATGATGAGTGACAGGTAAAAGAGCTGTGTGTATGTCTTTAAACTTCTCTGAAAAGCGGTAGTGAAACTTGAGTGGATTATGTACGTTTCCGAGAAATAGTTTGAGCTGCGAAAGTAGATGGCTTGTCTTAACTTGAGTTTTTTTCAGTTTGGAAAGTCCGAGAAGAAAATAAAAAAACTTTTGGTATCCTTTTATACCAAAATAACCATAAATTTAGATATTGTTGAACATAATAAACTTAGATATAATAGAAAATATATATACATATATGAAAAAATTCCCACTCTAATGAGACTATAACACGATACAGAAAAAGTTTAAACTAAAATTTGCTTACATCTGGCATTTAATAAAACTAAAATTTTTTGGATAAGTGGAAAAGCTTATAAAAACCGTGCTTGAAATACCAGGAGGTGAAATGTTAATACAGTCTGTGAAGTAGCTCATAAAATATTGTTGAAGATACCTTTCTGAATGTTAGAAAATCGTAAAGAAAACTAAATGTTTGAATTTTTGTTAAGTTGTTGTTTAAAAATATCTTATAACAACAGTTTATTCAGTTCTTGTCATCTACCAAATAAACTTGAATTATTATTTTTTGTATCGCTTTTGTAGCTTCTGTGTGCTGTTGATTATATAGGATGAATCACAAGGCCTTTAATAAGCAACTAATTTATAAATGAAGATGTATAGTTAAACAATTGTTAATGATATGAAATGAGGTATTGTGGGTCAACTTTAATGTCATTTCTCTCGCATATAAGGATATCTTTCCAGATGAGTAGAATTTTCTTTTATTTAAAGGTACCGTTTATTTATTTTGTTTTCACAGTTTGTCTTGTTATCTTTTTAATTGGATATTTCATGCGAGTCTGATCGAGAACTCGCTTGCTGCTTACTCTTGAAGGATACTAACAAGGTGTGCCTGTGTAATATAGTTAGTAATCTTTTAAAAAGTGTAACTGTGTTGAGTTACGTGTGGTATTGCATCGTATCGTAGGGTTTCGATCGTTATTTTCTAGCACTGACGCTATAAATTTGGTGATTAATTTCCTCATTTAAGGGACTGCTTTGATGTCAAAAAGGTTATAATAATAATTATGACTATGTCGTATTCTACAGACAACATTTTTGTTAAAAACAATAAAATAACTAGTTTTCAGCATTTTTTCACATTTTTCGAAAAACAAACATCGATGTAAAAGAAAGAATTTCTCACGAATCATCTGCACAATATAGACCTAGAAAAATAAGAAAGAATGAATTCATAAGTTCCTTTTTGATTCCCATTAACATTTGTTTCTATGAAAAGTAGAACTTAACTGGTAAGGAATGTTACATAGAAACGTTTTTTATCAACAGTAATTGGTCATTAGTTAGTTAGTTTAAGGTCAAAAGCTACACAAAAGTATATTTGCCACCGTGAAGAATCGTACTTGGAATTTAGTGTTGTAAGTCTGTAAACTTACCGTTGACCTATTGGAGGAAATAGTTGTTAGAAATAATGACAATGTCAGTCCATTTAAAAATTCTTTCTATGACTTGGGGTAATCGTGACGATTTCTTTTCTTTGTATTTTGAAAATATAATTGATGATAAAACCAATATAATGACACATTCCATGTCATTTCTAGTCATAACCAAACACCAAGTAAGAGTAGTTTACTAAGTTTATTGTATACAACTTGAACCGTTTAGAAATGGCACAATTTACATAAACTCCAGTTATTTTGAGCACAAATAACAAGCGATTCTTTAGACATGCCTACTTTACTCTTTATTAACTTATGTGTATACCAGAAGTTTACTTTTGATTCTACATAATTTCTAATACTGTAACAAAGATTGTTAAGTTTATTCATTACTTTGGACATAGTAATGTTACGCACAAATCCAAATACTTGCGATTACATTTACGACTACAATTGCAATGAAACTATGGCTTATAACAAAAGCTAAAAATCATCAACAGTTGGACACCTTATTAATTCAAATTTATGCTACAAATTTAACCAAGTACAAATAAGATTACAAGTGAAAAGCTCATTTTATATATAATTTTAACGCTTTTATAGCAGCGGTAACATTTCCAAGAACAAATCTTAATTGTTCTAAAGTTCACGAAAGTCAAAGGTCCGTAAAACCAAATACTCAGTACATTGTTACATACTTCAAACTAGTAACAAACACTTTTGAACAATGCAATCTCACGCACTTTACGTTAACCGTGAAAGACTCCATCAGAAATGTTCGAAGCTAAAACGTCTCATATATATAATTGCAAGGTATTTAACTATGATGGTGTCATTTCACTAATGATTATTGTGGACTTAGGATATTTTCCTTGTATTGAATATTATATTGCCATTTACATTCTCCTCCAGAATGCAGACTTTACGCAGTGTCTCAGTTACTGACGAGAGCTGAATTTCTAAGAAGTTAATAGTCCAAAGTTAAGTCCACTTATTTTATTACAAAAAAAAACGTAAAAAAAAGTGGATGTCCAACATTCTTTGAAAACTTTAATACGATTTTTTGTAGCAAATTAGTTCTTGGACTCCAATTAGTTCCTGTTAAAACTTTCTGTTGCATTTTGATCTTCTAAGGGCTTCAAGTTTTCGTTTTAATCTAACTATATTGTAACAAGCATATATCATACTTACATGCATTTGATAACGCTTAATGTCATACGTATCGTTTATTAATCGTTTACGTTTATTTATTTTTAATGAACTGTTACCGTAACATTTTCAAACATTTCGAAAAATTCATTGTTACCGATAGCCTGAGATATGAGAGTTTTTCTCTGCTATGTTAAACAAATGATGTTTGGTGCTTAGACACATCATAGCATAACATCTTCTGGAAAATGCTGACGATAATGTTAATGTTGAACGGCCTGTAATGCTTTTGTTAGGTAAAAGATGTGCTTCAATTATTGATTTTTCTGTTGTTGTTTTTTTCCTTCTTCTGCGATACATTGTCTGGAAGACACCTTCACAGTAAAGAACATCTTCAGTTCCTCGTTGTAGGTTTCACATCCATTCTAAAGATTTATAACCAACATGCTACTTTAAGTAGAAAACAACATAATAAAGTCGATAATCACTGTATTATTTTACTGATGGTATAACTCTAAGTTTGTTTGTTTGCTTTAGCGCAAAGCTACACCATAATTCGTCTACGCTCTTTCCACCGCGGGGAATCGAACCTCGAATTTTAACGATGTAAGTCCGTACACTTACTGCTGATCCCCATGGGGTCAGAGGGTTAAAAAACATAAGCGTTTTAAAGCCAATTCGAGTGTAAACTCGCTGCCTTTAAAGCAAATTCGTGATTATGATTGATTCATATATTGCATTAATCATCTAATTTTCGTAGAAAATTTCAAATTGCTGGAAGAGATGAAAACATAAACTAAAGCATTGTTAAAATATTAAACCGATGCGAGTTAAACAATTTGGATGAACTTGTTAAACTAACGAACTGGCTAAAGATTTGATTTATTTTTAGTCATATTTGTAAATAACGAACCCGGCGTTCGCTATATCTTCGTCTAATTATCAAATAATTACCTCATAGTTCAATTAACTTTGTTAGCTTTACGATTTCTTGATTACCCTCAGTTTATTATTATTTAATGAATTCATTGAAACTTATTGGTAGCACTGCGTTTCCATTTTCTTTTCACAGGGTCCCACTTTCTAGTCCCACAACATGGTCTGGAAGAGAAAAAGCAATGAAAATTGTTTTAAAATATAAAGATCTATATATATATAATTGAAGTTATTAAAATTAATAAAGACCTTTAGCGATCTGAATATAAGAAAAACTGATGTATTGAATATATTCAAAGAAATACCCTTCAACATTCAAACAAAATCTAGCACTAAAAATAGACTTAAGATATTAAGTTTTAGATTCTTAGTATTATATATTAATATTTTCATATTTCCCACTGAGTTGTATTTTCAGAACGGGCTTTTTTCTCTTTCTCATGTAACATGGATATTGTATCACGAGGTATAGTCTTCATATCTCGACAGGAAGCTTTTACATTCTCTTAAAGCTTTCTTCCATCAGGCACAACAAAAACAGGCCTGATAAACTGTAATTGCTTTCAGATTCAAGTGACTTTAAGTGTTGTTTATGACGTTTTTATAAAGTATTTTATTCAATGGTTTTCTAGTATACAGTTAATGCTATGGAAGAAATCACATCATCATACTCAAATGTTTAATATAGCATAATCACATTATTAGCTGTTACTGTTTTGTACAAAACAAAAATGTGTTATAAAAATAAAGCTCATCATATATTTTGTACATCAGTGTTATAGTTTCTATATACAGTTATATACTTATTTATAATTTTGTAGTTGTTACTAGCTACTCAATGATAAATTTGTTTTTCGTGTTTATAGTTGCCTAAAATACAAAATGATGATTTAAGAAATTAACAGTATAACTATTGTTTCCCAGCTGCGTATTCCTCGAAGTATATTGATCATCTTTTTTTTTCGAATACTTTATCGTGTGGTAATATTCAGTTTTATAACGACAAAGCATGTAAATCGTTAATTAGTCTTGTTACGTGTGACCTTTACTGTTATGCATAAATGGTAGTTTGAATACTTTTAGTGCATTCTTCGTAATAGAAAAACGTATCAGGCTAGTTCGTATACAGTACTTCAGTTTTACCCTGATGTTCTGTTACACACTGCGGTCGAAAAGTCTACGTTACACATGTCATATCAATAATATCAACTTGCTTTATGTATATCATTATCGAGACTTGGTATTAAACGTCAACACATGTGTCATAATACTTATTCAATTAACAGTTTGAATCTTATAAAAGCCTCCCATTAGCTCAGCGATAAGCCTGAAGGCTTTAACGTTAAAATTCGAGTTTCGATACCAGTGGTGAGCACAGCACAGATAGCCCATTGTAGTTTGTGTTTAACAACAACCAATAACAGCCAGAATCATTTAAATATCTTCTTAGAGTACAACTTCAGCAATCAAAGGGGTTTTATTACGAACTTACATGCCTGCAGTTCTAAAGAAGATATCATTACTTTGATTTTTTTCTTCACTTCTTAAATGTCATAAAACATCCTTGGATACCGCTTAACTAAACACGGATCTAAATTCCTTCCAATAGACACGAAGATGAAGAAAATTTAACTAACCTATCGTACACTTCACAGAACAAAAACACATAACCTAATCTGACAACATGTGACAAGCGGGGAGATTTCATGTCAGGATTAAATATCTTTTCTCTGATCATTCAGTTAGACTTCATAGATCTGCTTTAGCTCAAAGTCACACTTCATTTAACAACGAGAGTACGTTACTATACGCAGTGAATAAAGCTAAGTCAGCTACAGATGTGACGTCAGACTAGTGATTTTCGAGAAAGATTCAGCTAAAATTAAAGCCAGCAATGGACTCAATCCCACTATTCGTTGGTAAAAGACTAGCCCAAGAGTTGGCGGTGGGTGGTGATGACTAGCTGCTTTCCCTCTAGTCTTACACTGCTAAATTAGGGACGGCTAGCCCTCGATTGCGAGTCGAACGCCCTAACCACCTGGCCATGCCGGGCCCATTACGCATGAGATATGTTGGAATATTAGTACGCATAAGACAGCGGCCTACATATAACGCAAAAAATTAAATACTTTTTGCTCGCATAATCATACATATTTTGTCTCTAACTCTACCCCGTTTGTTTAGAAAAACATCGAATACGTTGGTTTGATTAAATTAAAAACAGCGTTTACTGATTTGTAAGAATAAAATATTTTATTGTGTTTTTAAAAACTACTTAATTTTATTTATTGAAAGAATAGTTTTGGGATCGTTTAAATAGTTAACTATTAAATTTTAATTCCCTCTTTTAAATATCTACCACTTCAAATAGTAGTTTAAAACACGAATTATAGTCCATCACGTTATAACGCCTGAAAGGTCGAGCATGTTTGATGGAACGGGGATTCGAACCCGCGACTCTCAGATTGCGAGTTAAGTGCCCTAACCACCTGGCCATGCCGGGCCCATTTCTTTTAAGAAAAATCATAATTGTATCAAAATATACACGTTAGTTATTAATAAATATATTTATAATCATTTGTGCAATGTAATCAGGAGAAAAACTTAAACTGTTACTGTGATTGATATTTACATTTTACATTTATAACGTATTTACATAAATAGTAAAATATGATTTTATGAAATGTAAACTTAATTTTTTGTTTTAAGAATCCTTTTATGGTAGAAATATTGAGTCACAAACACAGTACTATTGTGGATTTTTCATTTGATTCTTTGTGAGAAATATGAATAATTCAGTAAAAGGATTTAATGATAGCAAAATTATATTCGTAGATATACTTCTATATTATGTTAATTTTTTTGTCGTTTTTTTAATGTTTGCATAATGAGAGCTTCTGGAGTGCATAAAAATTCAGCTAAATAAACTATTGTGGTTAAGGCTATGGTCAAAGCCTAGAGTGTTGAAGATGTGTTATTCCTTTTGTTGTTATTGTTTTTTTTTAGACCTGGAACGAATGAAACGAAAATATATTAAGATACAATAAGTAATTGGTAATATACGAATAATTAAAACCATAATAACTTGAAAAAAGCCAGGGAAATGAATGGTCAGAAAGCTTGGTGATGAAAGAAGTAGCACGGAAATATTGATAGAGTTCGATTACATTAGATTAACTCAGAACAAAGAACTTTAGTGGTTTCTAGTTGATACATAAGTAAAACAATATGTTTGCTACGTAGTTTGAAATATTATTTTACTTGCACGTTTTCAAAAACCTGCTTAGTTCTTGAGGCGACAGTTGAACAACAATGTCAGGGAGTTAGTAGCGTCGCACAGCTGGTGATGAACAACATGAAGTATGTAAGCTGTGGACTTGTGGGATATCTGATTTTCTTTGTTTAAGTCAGGTATTTCCATAATTCTTGATTTCTCTTGCTCTTGTCAATCCTAGCAGCCAGACGAGACAAGAGAAGCCGGATCAGTTTAAAATAACAAAGTATTGTGTTTATGTTTAATAAAGAATTTTTCTTTCAAGCTACGTTTTCGTTCTTCTGTTTTCCTTTACTCTCTTGCGTTCAATTTATTCTTCTGTAACTTACGGAGAATTTGGAACTTTTCTGATGGTTATCAGTGAATCTGAATACCACAACAAGACTCATTTCTTTTTAAAGGATGAACGTGTATCTTATGTCTGTGTAGTCTGGACTGATTTGTCGAAAACTGCTGGTCGAACATTTTCTGACAGACGAGGCTTTAATGGTTCGTCCAGAATTAATGATCTGCAATTGAACACGTGATAAACTTAGTTTCTTAATGATGAGTATGGATATAATGAATATCACAGTCAGTGAATGAGAAAGTCAAAACACAGGACCTTATCCACGTGTTCATGAAAACGTGCATTCATTAAGGTAAAAATGTGATAATTACTTTTGTGCTTCATTAAATTTATTAAAGTTTGTTATTTTTTCAATCAGAAGTGAAAGCAAGTCTAAGAAACCTATCTTCTTACTATTGAAATGCTAAAACTATTTCATGGCATCAGTCCAGCAAGACTTAATGCAACAACACAATGTTTCGTGGCTTATATAATAGAATTCTTAACTGTTTGCATTTCATCACTAGGAGCTTTAATATTTACGTGACGAGGAAAAAACCCTGGAAGGAACATTTGTGCAAATCGCAATAAAATAAAATATTTTATTATCGTATGTAGTTAGTAGCTTGATATTTCATTTAAGATTTGAACGAATATACATGAAAAGGTTATGAAAAAAGGAAACAAAACTGGTGAAACCATAGCAAAAGAAGCATTTAGCACAAAAAGAATATTTTATAAGATAGGGTTGTGTCTATTTATATGTTATCTATTTTTATTCAATTTTTATTCTATACAAAACTTTAATATTTGAATACATTTATAACACCTCTTTACCCATGTGCTATTATAAAAAGTAATAATGAACAATCAATTATATGTTAGAAATAAAAACTGTTCTTTTTTTATAAGATACTGCAACCAACATTTACGAAAGAAACTTGTTCTTTAGGTTTTAATGTTTTCTTTTTTCTTCGTTTAACCTGACGTTAGGTACAGTTGATATCTCTTATATGCACATTTATTTAAGAGTTCTAAAGAGAAATATTCAATAACAAAGTTATCTCATCTTGGGCACTTTTAAGGAGATCTAATTAAAACCACTAGAATCTTCTTAATTACTTCTTTTCTTTGGTCAGCATTGAATTTTTCTTTAACGAATGAGGGTTATCTAAAACATTATTTCTATGACCTATTGGGATCTGCATGAAACACATACATTTCTGTGTACAGTCAAGTCAAAAACTGACACTCATCTGATATTATCTTTACACTTTTTAAACACTTTACAGCTATAACTGCTTCGTAACCTTATAACCCGAGCGTAGCCTAATGTTTAGCATATCAAAATGGAAAGCTGAGAGTCTTGGATTTGAGACATGGTGCTACCATTTGATGTTTCGCACTTCTAACTGTGGCTGCGTTATAAGAGTGGCAATCAATTCCACTCTTTGTTTAAGAGTAGTCGTTTCAAGTAGAAGGTGTTAGCGACTGGTTGAGTTCTCTCTGGCTCTCGGTTCAACTTTAGAGACGATAATGCCTGAACTTTGAGGTCTCTGACCTATCCGATTAGCCCATTCTTACCGCTGATCCATAGTTCCAAATAGGTATGGCCTTACCTGAAAACCTTGAGGTTTCTAACGTGGCCTTTTAGCACATTGCATGTATAAGGAGTCGTTCAGTTAAACAAGAAGACACGCATAAGCCAATAGAATAATTTCTCAAAGCAATAAATCTGGATACTTCGTGAGGGTTTCCTGTACGAAATGATTGAGTCAAGACTATAATTTAATAATCGATCTGGGGCAATTTAACTAATTTTTTATGGTTACTCACAATTTCAGTCTATCTTCTTAAAAAAGAGGATTTTGATAAAAAATGTATTCAAGATATTTTAAACTAAAGAATATAACTTGTGAATAAGGGTTTTGTATGATTCAAAATAAAATTGGTGTTCTGTTTATTTCGTGTACTGTTTTAATTCGGAACTTAACCCTATTGTTGTTTTTGAAAAAATACTTTAATTCAAAATCTTAGGTTACGCGGGACAAACTCGAAGTTATCATTCAGCGAAAAACATTACTTGTTTACATTTGGGAATCTTATTTTTACAAATGTATTGACAATACAATTGTAAAGCTCACGTAGCTGGAAGCTTTTTGTCTGTGGTAGCTTTGAAAATAACTTCGAAATTCTGCTAATGTTTAGTTGCTATTTTGAACATTACAACATGAACAGTAGTGCTGTCATTTGGTAGTATTAATTTAAACTTTCATATAACTACAATTTCATCAGGTGATTGTATGATGTTTTAAAACTGTATAAATATGTTGATATTCAATATTTCAAATAGAAAGATTTAACCCTTAATCATTTTTTTTCTAAGTAGATTGCTATGTTTATCGATATTTAGTTCAATTAATACTTCGCGTTACTAGAAGTTTAAAAAGTAATTGTTTTCATAGGTATATCCAAATAGTGAAAAAGCATTATCATATAATAATGTAAAAATCACATATTCTCGCAGTAATAAAAAAAAGCTTCAAGTCACTTTTAAATATTTTAGATTTTGCTTAAAGCAGATATTTTGTTTCCGAAATTTGAGCAAAGCTACATAAAGGCTATTTCAAACTGTCACTAATTTTTGAAAAAAGGTTTAGACAAAAAGAAATTAGTCAACAGCACCCAACACCAACTCTTGAACTACTTTAATCGCAAAGTGAAATTTGATCGTACCTCCTATACCTCACTCACAGCCACAAAGGGCATGGCGCGTTTCTGCGGCAACTAGACGTGAATCATATACCCTCAGATCCACAGTCCAGCTAACCATTAGGCCGCACCATTAATTGCTTTATTTGATTTAAATTTCTTATTCATAGTTCTATCCATCAATCAATATCAATGCACACATGATATTCATCTATGTTTGTTATGACTACTTCCAAAAGAAAATCGATATTATACATTTTTGTGCTTAATCTCTTCTTACTTAGAGCTTTTATATCACAAATTTTCTTTAATATTGAACTACCCAAGAAGACACCAGACATACTTTAGGTTTAACAAACTATAATGCTGTATATACTCTAAAATGTTTAGTTGAAGGACTTGGTAGCCATAAGTTAAATATATATTTAAATATTCGTATATAAAAAGTATTGTCTGGTATAATTATTATGTTACTTTATCGACCAATATCTGGAATTATAAATTACAGCAAAGAAGCTCATTAATCATCAACGAAATTCTTGAGGCTTTAATGAGCCACGTTGGAACTAAAGCGCTGAAATTTACTGGTAAATCATTATAAAAATAGTTCATTGAAGCTTACTACTTGTACAGTCAGTCAGCATTAGTTCATGTACTGTCAGTAATGACCCACTATAAATTCCATGATAATATATTTAATCTATGTCGTTCAATACTAAAAAAACAATCTTTTATGCGATTTTTCACCTGAAATGATTCACTGTTTTATCTAATAAATATATTGCTCAAAAATAAAACTACTACAACAGCGAGAAAAATTGTTCATTAAAGTAACTTAAATAAAATACAAAACCTTCAATCTTTTGTTATGACTAAGTACAGACCAAAGTAGCCTGACTATAGTTTATTCTAAAGTGCAACCTCCTCAATTTACCTTTTTTCTTTTCTCTGTTTATCCAATAAGGAGATAAATGACAGATGCTTCAACTGTGATAGCCAGGCAGCTTGTTTGTTCTGTTGTCGGATATTCGAGAAAAAGTACTCACCACTAGGACTAGTTTAGTCTGACGTAATAGTGGGATTTGATCCTCACCCTTATAAAAAATCCACGGCCCCAAAATGCAGAGCACGATTTTTTTGGCATCATAATGACATGAACGATAAAATTGTAGATTCACTGTTCGGCACGCTAGCCAGTGGGCCTATCAGGTAGTTTAAATAGTTACAAGTGCCTTAGTAGAAGCTGCTAAATGAGTAAACTTAGTTTATTGTTGTTTATGGTACTTCGCATAAAGCTACTTGTTGACTAACCGCACTAGCCATCCCTAATTTTGAAGAGATAGATTAGAGGAAAGGCAGCTAGTCAACACTACCCACTGCTTACTTGTGTACTATTCTAATTATATAACACACCTATATATAACACACCTAATGCTACAAAGTGTGAAGCGCGAATTTTTTATCTTTTTTTTATGTCGAACCAAGGAACCTTGTATTCACAGCCCAACAAGCTAGTTTTTAGTTTGAAAACCTAGAGTACACAAGCAGAAAACTGAAAATTTCTTGTATATTACATTCCTCGAAAGGATTACATTTTAAGACTCGAGATTATTTGCTGAGCTTCTCAATCTAATGTTAACTTCATTTTACTGGAAATTTTCAGAACTATAGAACTATTATTTGAGCTAGTTGAGAGGTATAATGCGACCCCTATTCAAAACCATGAACAAATGAGTTCTAATTTTCACACTTTTGATAATACTAAAAATGTATGTCTGATTTGGAAATAGAATGTTAAACTCTAAGTAATCATACATGCACATTTAGTTAAAACCACATAATTATACGCACTAATATTTGAAATCAATATTCATTTAGTCCGCCTGTGGGACAGCAGTAAGTCTAAGGACTTATAACGCTAACATACGGTGGACACATTAGATAGCTCAATGTCATTAGATAGCCCAATGTGGCTTTCTTCTAAAGATAAGCCTTATCTATAAGGAAGGAGGAAACAATATACCATAACATGAATTTATCTAATAATATATCATCGCATTCTTTATTATTTATCTTTAATCCTAGCTTAATCTAACAAAATGTTCGTATTCCGAGCGTTTGTCTTTAATGTAAGCTTTTCCTGATAAGATGTTCGGCGTATTCCGTAGCGTTTATCTTTAATCTTAGTTTGTCTTAACAAAATGTCAGACGTATTATGTAGCTTGAAATATTAGAGATATTCCGATGCTCTTATAGTTAAATATTAACCCGGACTAACAAAATATCAAACAGATTTCGTATCTTCTACCATTAAATTTTTCATTGGTTTTATTTCGTAATTTTTACTACGATTTAACAAAATACTGGCCATGTTCTGTAACATTTAAAATGATTTTTACTTTGATCTAACAAATTATCAAACATATTCTGTACGCTAAACGTTTACTTCTGGTTTCACTTAAAATATTACAAGAAGTTTTGAATAAATTGTAAAATGACTGATCTAACAAAATATCATGCATATTATGTACACTTAACGTTTACTCCTGGTGTTACTTAACAAGATACAAAAAATATTCAGTAAACTGTAAACTGGTTCTTAGTTTGACTTAACAAAACACCGGACGTGCTCCGTAACTTTTACTATATATATCTGTTCTCTTAAATACAATATTATGCTAGGTTTTTCAGTATCGAAACCCGGTTTATAGCGTTGTATGTCTGTAGACATACCGCTAAGAGCTGGGGGCATTTGGTAATAAGAGAAAAATTTTGAACAAGTCTACTGTTGCTCGATTCGCATTTTCCTCATGTACAGTTAGTGATATATGATCAATCTGCTACTTACCAAACTTTTTGGTACAGATGACATTATGGTAAAGAGAAACTAATCTTGAGAGGTGAAACATTTAAATAATGGAAGTTTACTCACTGTGAACGGAGACAGCTCTAACGCTGCACATGCTGTTCAAAGTAGCAGACTTCTTACTCCATCTGTAGGACCTCCGTCGACGTTTGCAATTGAAGACAGACCTAAAGGCTTGTCTGTATTTGCTGTGCATGAAGCTGTAGATAATGGGATTACAACAGGACGAGAGGTAAGCCATAAGATGAATAATCGAAATAACGCTAGGCGGTAATTTCCGGTAGACGGCATTAGGATCGTAAAGTGCCCAAGTGTTGATAACAAATAATGGCATCCAACAGATGAAAAAGTTCAAAACTATTACAAATAGCATACGAATGACGCGTTTTTTTGCAACTTGACCTTTTTTGTAGTTTCCTCTAACCACCAGATGGCGGTGAACGACCATCCGAGAGCGCGATGGCGCTGGTAAAGTATTGTCATTTTTGTCTCCACACATCTCAATCACGACTGATTTTCTAGTAGTATTTCTATTGATTGATGGTTCATCGTTATGTGTGGATAGTAATCGAAGTGGGAGAACTGTAAAAAATAAAAAGTGTCTAAAATGATAATAAAATATTGATAAGTTTATTATTAATTGTTAAAAAAGCATGCATACATTATTTTATATTTAGTTAATGCTGTTTGTTACTGCAATCTCCTTTTTTTTTCAAAAGGTTTTTGTGTACCAAATATTACTTTAATATCTGGAAATACTAATCATTACGAACACTTTTTTGTTTACATTAAATATTTGAAAGTCTAAGATATGTATAGTATTTTTTAACAAGTGTTTCAAAGAATTCTGAACATCATTATAAAAAAATCCATGTTCAGCAGATTTTGCTTCTTTATCTTACTAAAGGTATCGATCTGACAGTATTTTAGTATTCTAGAAGCACCTACAAGTTGAGGTAATGCTGATTTTTCACTCTTTTATTGTTAACTAAGGTAGAAAACATTCTTGCAGGCAACCTCGAGATCCACAAGTAACTTAGTATTAAAACGAAGTAGTTTAAGCATAGGGTTTTTTTTACGAGATATCATTCAATAAATAAAGGTCAGTTTGAAGACATAATCTTAAAAATCTTTGTTAAAAAGACATAGAAGCAAATGTCGGTAAAACAAAGTTTTGAATTAGAATGTTACATGTGTACAACCATGTTTATAATGTTTGAAACAAATTGATAATTAAAAATACATTAATAAATTGAGAAACATTTTCCATGAGAATGAAGCTCGGGGAAGCTGTTTTTCTTTTTCAGCAAGAATAATATAAGTCTCTGATGTAATTTCCCTTTTCCATGACACCCTCATGAAGAAGTCGTTTTAAGTATTTTGTGTTTTTCGGACAAACAGTATTATGGATTGAAATAATAAACAAACAAAACACCTTACCATCTCTTTGTCCCTGCAAACCCGTATAGAGTGTGTGGACAATTAAAGAGTACATTAATGTCATGATCAGAAGTGGCACAACCAGCAAAGCAGCAACCAGGTAGAGATTGAATACTCGTTCAGTTGTCACATTCGGCCAGACGTCTCGACATTTATAACGATCTATAACATTCAAAATATAAAGATAATTATAATAGATCTGATTTCTACAAGTACAAAGTTAAAGGAAAGTTGAATTTGAATTAATGATTTTTTTTTCTGAAAATACAAGTAGGGGGAAGGTCTTCTGTTATTAAAATCAAATAATTAATTTAATATATCCTTATACAGTATTGTAAAGACCATATTTATCCTTAACAGTAGCCTGGACTTGCCATGGCATAGCCTTCGCAAAATGTCTTATTCCATTTTACATGTAGCCCGTTTGACAAGACGAATTATCTTGGTTTCTCTTGTTGACAAAGAATTACGGTGGAGAATATGATGGTAACATTATCCCAAAGATGAACAATATGATTGAAATCTGATGATTTCGCCGGACAAGAAAGATTTCTGGAGTCGCTCTTCGGATCAGTATTGAATAACAGAGAACGCAGTGGTTTGTTGCAGTGTAGTCTGGGAAGAATCCTTTTCTTTCAGGATAAATATGGAGCATTAAGAGGTGGAAATTATTAGCATCCATGTTAAAGCATGCTTTGGATACTATTATCCTCATTAAATAATCTATAATCTAACCAACTCTTCCAACGTTCTCCACATCATTTCCCCACAACAAGTAGCTTGCGCTCTTAAAATAACACAAATAGGTTGAAGAGCTTGTTGTTTCATCCACAGTTCTACTCTACTGCCAATAGAAAATAAAGTAAAAAATGACTCATAACATCACTTAAGATTCCATTTAGATAATAATAATTTTCAAAGGAAGACTCAAAATTTATATTGAATTAATTTGAAACATATATAAAGTTGAATTCACGTTAGAGAACTGCTTTTAAAATACCAGGATGTTCATAAGAAATATTAATCCACTATCTTAAATTTTTTAATTACTACTCAGGTTTTTCTCTGAACAATGACGCTCTTATGTCATAGTGCTTACAATTCTTTTATAGTTCATCAAGGAGACTTAAAAGTATTTTCTTATACTAAATGTCTTCCTAAGGCCTTATCTTAGAGTAAAAGATGTTTTAATGAGTTCTTATCAGAACTTCACAAGATTCTTATGCAATTAATACCTCCCCAAGTTATGGTGCTATTGACGTTTTGTTGAAATTTTAACCAAGATTTCACAGAATTTTAATGGAAGTGATACCTCCCGAAGTAATGGCGCTGACGTTGTCTTCTTAAAATATTTACCAGGCGATGACAGAATTCGTATGCAAATAATACTTCTCGAAGCTAACCTGAAATTGAATATTAAAAGCCTTACATAGAAAATGAAAAAATGCATCTAGATGTCATTTTCCATAGACCAGACAGTTGAAGTTTGTACAACTACAGAAAATATGAGCCTCTCTTAAAAATCCAATAAGTTATTCTTACAAACAAACTTATTTACAGTGCAAGTATATTTAATATTATAAATAGCTCAAAATATTTATTGTGTTACCTGAACGCAGATTGTTATTTCTGAATATTTTATGAATTCAATAATAGATGTCATCCTATGGTTCTGAACAAGAAAAAAACCTCTCAAGCCTTAACAGCGTCGCTCTTTCGAAAGCACATTGGTACAAATAGAAACAATAATTCACGTACGGTTTTATTCCCGTTTCTGAGTAATGCAATGATAGGATTAAAACTATTCTAACTCAATTAATGTTTTTTCTTCACTATGAATAGATGTTTTACGGTTACATTAGAAAACATTTCTTCTTTTATCGACGTATCTTTATATCTTTTTACTTCTCGTTTATTTCAGGAATGCTAAAACAATATAAAAATAAAAACCAGCATAATTGTCTCCTTTTTAAGTACCTGCCCCCCAGTAGCACAGCGGTATGTCTGCAGACTTACAACGCTAGAATCCGGGTTTCCGCTAGAATCCGTGGTGGGCAGAGCACAGATGGACCATTGTGTAGCTTTGTGCTTAACTTCAAACAATACATGCTTTTAAGTACCAATAGAAACAAAAAAGTCTTTATATACAATATCTTATTTCAAATTAGACAGTTTTGTTTGTTCTAATGGAAAACTGCCCAATATCCTATTTTCACTGTGTATACTACTAGCATCGAACCTAGAATTCTAGTGTTATAAGCCCTGAATATTACCGCTGAGTTACTGGAGATTTAGGTTATTCAAATTAAATGCCAATATAGTTAATGTGTAGTTATAACGTAATTTGATTGACATTAACTTTACAATAATCGCATTTGCTTCACATCAAAAATAGAAAGAATGTTATTACTGGATGATGATGACATGTGTTTGGAAGATTATTTACAATAAACGCTGTTATCATATGTAAAAATGTGTATGTTGTAATCTGCATTTTCTAAAGGCTTTTTAAAGATCATAACACAAAACGGTGACGATATAGTGAACTTGTATTTCTGATCAACTACTCATCATTTAAAAGGCTACAAAGATAACTCAAACTTTCAAACAATTGAAGATTATCGACTGAAAACACACACACACACACATATACATATGAGTATTTGTGTGTGTTTGTGCCAATTTAATTTCGATACAATAACAAATCAATTTGTGCACTTGATTAACTGTCACATGGTACGTGGTTAGTGGTTTGCGTGAGGGGCTGCGGAACTGAAGGTCCAAGGTTTGAACCGCATTATGCCTCTGAATATAATCCGCACTTTTAGCAAAGGAGACTTTTCAATAATGAAAGTAATCCCACTATTTTGTTAAGAGTAACGGTGTAGGCGACGGTTGATGTTGACTAGTTGTCCTCTCGCTGGCCAGCAGTTCTCAATTAAGAACGGTAATGCCTGAACCTTGGGCTTACAACATAACCGTGGAACCCATGTGTCCCATAAGATGCCGATCAGTGTGAAAATACTAAAGACCTTACTTATTTAGACCGATTGTTTTAAATGATCAAATGTTCAACAAAATAACAATATTGTTAAAAACTTTCATTTTTCCACTTCACGTTTAATATATATATATATATATATATATCACTATACTGCACGTTTAATATATATATATCACTATACTGCACGTTTAATATATATATATATCACTATACTGCACGTTTAATATATATATCACTATACTGCACGTTTAATATATATATATATATCACTATAATGCACGTTTTAGTGCAAAATAATTTTGACGTTAGACTTCATAACAAGGTTTCAAGAGTAACAATGCGTACGATAGCTTTTACAATCTCATAAAAACATATACCGAAAACTTATTTTAAACTCACATAAGTCAACCCTAATATTTCTCTTGAACTACATCGTGGCTTGATTTACTACCATGCAACTACAAAAGACTGACTTGACCATATCAGAAACATATCAGCTATTAGCTGGAGTACCCGTCCACTGAACGGAAGTTATGTAAATTCGTGATTAATGAAAGGTTATCTTAGGACATGAAAAGTTGTTTCCCTTATTGTACCAATTTTGGTGAAGATCCATCTTCAGAGGGCGAAGTTGTGGTAAAAAAGCCAAAAACACCCATAAAAACTGCAAAACGCTAAATGCAAAACTGAAAATTTGTATGTACCCCCGCATGGACCTAGTGAACCTCCATACCAATTTTGGTGAAGATCCATCCACCCCCTGCGAAGTAGTTATATGGATATACATAAGACAGTACTATTATATTTATATATATATCGGATTTTTTTTTTTCAACTAGTAATTGTAGGTTTGAGACAGCTCTCATCAGCTCAGTTAGAATGATCGCGAATAATGTTACTTGAATGAAAAGTAGAAGTACATCAAAGTTGACGTGAATTTTAGATATCAACGCTGTAACTGTACCCTTTCATGCCAGATAGCCTAGATGTTTTAAATTTTCTTTTGACTTAAAAACTACAAACCTATGCCAGTTACTGCTCAAGGCTGACGGGTATATAAAGCATACAAGTTATGAGAAATTGTATTTTAGTTGACACTTTTTTTCGTTAACCTTTCGTTCGTTAATCATAATTAGAAAAGCGAAATTATTTTTGTGTATGTATTATTTTTCAAGAGATAGTTGTGTCATTGAAATTTTTTACAATTTTAATATATCAAACAGCTTAGTGTAATTCAACTGTTACAAAATCCAGTAATCTTAAATTATACGACGAAACCCTTTTTTTTTCCAAATATATAACTACTGTACATGTTAATATTGATAACTATTATTATCGATTGGAACAAGTTTTGAAAATCAAGTTATCCATTGATCTGTATATTAGTTTACTACTGTTACAACAGATTCTGATAAAGCGTTATATGTTATTTTTGTTCCAGGGAGAAGAAACCAAAGGATTTTCTCTTCTTCCAGGCCTGTCAGATTATAACATAATATGTTCAATATAGGCCGATATTACGTTATCTTTGGAAAGGTTTGTTTGTTTTTTAATTTCGCGCAAAGCTACACGAGGGCTATCTGCGCTAGCCGTCCCTATTTTAGCAGTGTAAGACTAGAGGGAAGGCAGCTAGTCATCACCACTCACCGCCAACTCTTGGGCTACTCTTTTACCAACGAATAGTGGGATTGACCGTTACATTATAACGCCCCCACGGCTGAAATGGCGAGCATGTTTGGTGTGACGTGGATTCGAACCCGCGACCCTCAGATTGCGAGTCGAGTGCCTTAACCACCTGGCCATGCTGGGCCTTGGAAAGGTGATCATCGAAGAACAAACTGTAAGATATATTTATCATTTATCAGTGAAAGGGCCATAACGACAAGATAATTTTTCAAAATCTTGCCAGAGTATTCTCTAACGACATTATCTTGGTTAATGTATCCATGTCCAAAACTATCATGAATATTGCATCAATTTTCTGACGAGAAAAAGTATAGTACCAGTTCACAGTTAATATAAGTATTTGAAAACACGTTAATTCATCTCCCTTTGAAAATTTAATATCATTTTATAAACTTTTAGAGCATTTGTACTTTCGACGAAAAATTACTCCTAA